GTAAGTGACTCACTCTCTGGAGCTTCCGTGTTCCCTGGTGTAAAGTAAGGACAGCTGTATAGTGCTCAAAGGCTTGTGTCAGGCTCAGCGGGTGCGCCTCAGCATCCGGCCTGCAGGGAGGGACGTGGGCTCCTGTTCCAGCCCTCCACCCCCTGCTGCCACAGACGCCTTCTGAGTGCCCTATTCTGTATGCCTCGGGGAGCCTTTCTTAGCCCCCAGGAGCCGCCTATGGCCCCATAACACTGTACACACATTTCTAATGCTGCATCTGTCACACTGTATTTATGAATGGCTTAAATACATCTGTCTCTCCTATGAGAACACTTACTTCTAAGCCAGGTGAACTGCAGGAAAACCCTCTGCAGTAGAACCAATATATATATATATAGATAGACATATAACAAATATATATATATATATATATATATATAACTTATATATATATAAAATCACTTCCATCTATTAACAGAGATGGATATTTATTCTGAGACTCACATAATAATGGAGGCTTGGTAAGTCCAGCAGGACAGGCTGGTGGGCTAGAGACCCAGGTTGCAGGTCAAATCCAAACCCAATGGCATTTTTCTAGCAGAGTTCCCTCTTCTTCCAGGTAGATGAGTTTGTTTTTTTTTTTCTATTAAGGTCTTCAACGGATTTGATGAGGCCCACCCCTTATGGAGAGTAATCTGCTTTACTCAAAGTCTACGGATTTGTTAATCTCATCCAAAAAACACCTTCACAGACACATCAAGAATAGTGTTTGACCAAATATCTGGGTACTGTGGCCCAGCCAAACTGACACACAAAATTAATCATCACAACCTCTGAGCCCTGCGGAGATCAGGGGGTAAAACCAGAAAGGCCGAGTCAGGAAGGGAGTGACATGGAGCAGGCACTCCCCAGCACCTTGCATCCTGCAGAGCCACCCAACGACAGAGTGACTGACGTGCTGTCCCTGCATGGGATGCAGACAGATGGTGATGGGGCCCAGGACTGCAAAGCACATCCACTGTCCTGGTCACTCAACTATCTGTAACTGGGAGTCCACAGGCCCACAGCTGGAGAGCCTGGGGCAAGCCTGACCAGGGGGAGCGTGACAAGCTTGGAGGCACAGTGTTGAATGCTCAACCAAACCAAGGTGCCAGGGACCCCACCTCCGGCTCCAGCTTCCACATGCATCCACAGTGCATGTGGAAAGTGCCTTTGCTCACGGGGAACTCACTCTTTCTACGTGCTAGTGTATCATCCCCCAGGCTAAGATCTATGCACCCAGATGCCTGGGATGGGGAAAAAGTTCTGGAAATGGATGGTGGTAGTGGCTGCACAACATTGTGAATAAACTTCATGCCACTGAACAGACACTTACAAATGGCTAAAGTGGTAAGTGGTATATGCTGTGCATATTGTGCCACAATAAAAAAGATAATGCTCCTTGAGGACAGGCCCACGCCTTTCCTTAACCCCCACAATACACAACACATAATCCATTCCTCACCATTCCTATTAGAGTTGACCAGATTGTCAAAGACAAAAGGCCTGGGGCCCTACCGGCAGTAACTAACTTCACAGAGCGACATGAATGGCCTGGAGCGTCACAGGCCGGTGTCTCCACGGTCAAGTGATTGGTGCATGGCAGAACACCAAGATAGACATTTCGGATGGAAGGACTTTTAAGGTAAGCGGACCTGCAGGACTGCTCCATGGAGGCCAAGTGGGAGCCCGGGTCCAGCAGTCTGAGCCAGCACCTCTGTAAGAGCTTGCCGGAGGAAGGTTTGGAAGAGAGCCACCGACACAAGGGTCCCACCTGCTCTCTGCAGCTCCCAGAGCTCAGCGGCCTCATCCGCTGCTTCTTCCTCCTGAAAACTTTTTACCCCCACCTCCTGCACTCTCAGAAATGAACAATATGAACCCCTTAACTTCCAGAATGAATCCATATAATCTCTCCTTCTACCTCCCTCCTATCACATCCTTCCCTACAGTCCTTTCCTGGGAAAATACTGGAAAATACCGGAGTTCTTCTAAACAACCATCACCGTTATTATTATTATTATTATTATTATTATTATTATTTAAAGATTTTAATTATTTGAGAGAGGGAGAGAGAGCGAGCACACAAGTGGGGTGGCAGAGGGAGAGAGAATCTTAAGCAGACTCCCTGCTAAAGGTGGAGCCCGACATGGGGCTCGATCCCATGACCCTGAGATCACGACCTGAGCCGAAACCAAGAGTCAGATGCTCAACCCACTGCGCCACCCAGGCGCCCCAGTATTATTATTCTTGTCTAGCCGTTAGCTCACCCTCCTCACCCAGATGCCCTTGTGGGGAGAAAGGCCTCACATCTGAGGCACAGGATGAGCTGGCTGCTCTGAGCTCCTGATTCTTTCCCACTAACCTTTCCTGAGCCACCAGAGAAATGACTGGCCAATGTGGAACTTTCTTCCCCTCACTATCCCTTTGCCCAGAATGTTTCAAGCAGAGCTAATCCTCAGCCTGACCGTGCTTCAGAAGGATGCAGTCCAGCCTACGAAAGCTGAGTCTTGGCGGAATGAAACAGCCAAGACGAAGCAAGACCTTGGTTTCTGCTAGAAACCCACCTATACATCCACTGTTCCTTCAAGACATCAGTTCAGTCTGTGCCTCAATAACTGGAAGAGAGCTGTCTGGCCAGCTCTGTGGGCCCAAACTGGTAGGCCCTGGGTCATTTATGTCAATGTGTAATGAACCACCACGGAAGCTCAGTGGCATGTGGAAAAGGTCCCAAAGCTCGTGAGTTTTCAGACCTCAGGGATGGAGCCTGGACACTTTCTCGTGGGCAGAGCGGAGAAGCGCAAGGAGAATCCTGCACGTCTGCTCTGATTTCTCTATGCCTCACTCCAGCTTGCATCCTGCTGGCCGCAGCAAAACATGCAGCCAACCTCAGAAAGCCATGGGTAGGCAGACTGCTACTGAGGGAAAGCAGCAGAATGGCAAAGGGCCTTTCATGCCAGAGGCTGGCCTCAGTCTCCCACAGGCTCAGCAACTGGGCTTCTCTGTTGAAAAGTCATGGAGGAAAAGAATGTCTTTGACAAACTAAAACGAAGACAGTGTTCTTGTGTCTACAACCCCACATGGCATTTGCAAAGAGGGGAACCACAGGACCTTGCAGCAGCAGGGACCTTGCTGGTTAGTGACCCCACCCCCTCCCTCTGTGGGGAGGATGCTCGGATCCAGAGCCATTCTGGAAACTGGCTGAGTTCATTCTGGAACCGGCAGGAGCCGGGACCCCTGCTGGCCCTCAGGACGAGGAGGGCAGAGGCAGCCCAGGATCATGGGACAGAAGCAGCAGGAAGTGCCGACTCTGCGCGGCCCAACACCAACCTCAGCGGGCACCCCAAGTGGGCACCGGGAAGGAGGACCACCCATCCTCCGGCGCTCCGACCGCACAGGCTGCTGGAAGACGCGGGGGATGGAGGCGAGCAAGCTCTTCCGGGGAAGGGGCTGCTCCACCCAGCTTTGCTCGCCCCACCTACCTGCCCAGGCTGCGGACTTTCAAAACTTATCAGACCAGGCTCAGGACGTGGAGAACCAACGACAGGGGAACTAAAGAGAAACGTGAAACCAAGGAGAACCGTGCCCAGGCTGCATGGTGGCTCCCTCCGTGCTCTGGCTCCTCACAGGCAAGGTGTCCTTCCCTGCTTGCTGCCCACCACAGGCCCCTCCCTCTGGACCAGGGAACAAAGAGAGGCACTGGGGACCGTTCTCGCTCTACCCATCATGGGACAGCCTGTGGCCGAAGGATAACCCCCTGTTGCCCCGGCCACAGTGCAGAGCCCGACTGCTGCTCACTTTTGGCTTGTAAGTGCAGCCCCTCACCAGGCAGCAAAGCCTCCTAGAATCACAGCGTTCTAGAAACAAAAGGAAACTTCAAGGTACCCGTCCAGCCTTTTTATAGATGGAGATTTTATAGAAGTTGGGCAGAGCCTGTCCCGGGGGGAGATCTGTGGCCTTGCCAGGTAGTGGGCATGATTCCTGGCCACTGAGTGCTCCCAGTAAGAAGGCAGTGGTGTAGACACACGCACGCAGAACCCACGCGGGAGCGTCTGTTCACACGCCACACGGGCAGATGTCCGAGGACCAGCCCCAGCCCAAGCTGAAGGTCCCCCAGGCCTGCAGGGAGAGAATGGGACGGTCCTTCTTAGCAGCCACGTTTGCCTGAAGCACGTGCACTTTCCTTACTGTGGTGAGGAGATACCCGACTGAGTCTTCCCACGACTCCTCCTCTGGCCCCGGGGGGAAGGGAGTGCAGAACCCTTGTGCCTCGGGTCGGGCCAGCAGCCGGGCAAGGGCAGTGAGGTGGGGTCGGCTGGGACTGCAGGGCTGGCAGGCCTGACAGATGGAAGAGGGTGTCCTAGGTGGCATGGCAGGAGAAAGCAGCCCGGGGCCAGGAGCTGTCACTTAGGTGCCACGTTCTGGCGTTGGCCAGCCCCCCGCTTCTCCTTTTGTGCATGCCGCACCCCGGCCGATCCCGGCAGCCGGACACCTGACACTTCCCCAACTCTGCTGAAAGCCACGTCCGTGTCTGCCTGGAGCGGAACAGAGCCTGTGCTCCTGGCGGAGGTTAATTTAACCAGGTGGCCCCTGAAGAAGGCTTCCTCAGGACGGGATGAGGGGACGGGGGTGGGAGGGGTCTTCTGGGACCACCACACAGCCTGTCCTCAGACAGATGGGAGTCCCCTCTTGTGACCGGCTCTTCCGGTGATGCTTCTGGCTGACGTGGTCAGGGCCTGAGCTTTGATCAGTGTTTACCATTGTTGTTGGACCACAAGGGCCGGACAGGACAGGAAGAACATGCGGGACAGTGTTGGCTGCCCCAGAGCCCCCGTGAGGAGCCCCAGCCCAGCCCCCGCCTCCGCGGCAGCTCCTGGGGAAGGCCCAGAGAAAGGGTGAGTGAGCGAGCTCAGCAGTTCCCAAATGAGCCGAGTCCCCTCGACTGGCCTCCCTGGGCCCGTCCCCGGGCTCACCTGGATAATGAAGCCAGTGGAGGAACACTGCCTGACCCAGAGGCTGAATTTCCGCTTTTTCCTCTTTCGGAGTTCCCGCTCCGTGCACGTGGCGATGAACACAGGGTCCTCGTCAATCAGGGGTTCGTGTAGCACCTGCCAGGAACGAAACAGCAGAGATGCTCACGGAAGGCAGCGTTAGCTCGGGGGGGGGGGGTGTCATCACATCTGCTCTCAAATCAAGTCCCTGCCTTTGACCAGCTGTGTGACCTAAGCCACTTTAACTCTCTGATCCTGAGTCTCCCCATCAGTAAAAGGGTAACATCTACAACAGTGTTTTGGGGAGGACAAAGCAAGAAACCATACGCATGGGCCCTGACATACAGCAGGTATTTAGTAAATGGAAATTTAAAAAGTAATTTTATTTTTATTTTACGTATTTATAAAACAATACATATTTAATGTATGTATATGTTTTAATGATTTATAATTATCTTATTATAATTACAATAATAATTATCATTACATTGCCCAAGATTCCCAGTGCAAACTCTCACTTGGTAGAGGGATCTCTAGGGGTCCTGACTCCTGGCGGGGCATGCCCACTTGTTTTCAGGAAAGCCCTTTCTTTTTTTTTTTTTTTAAATATTTTATTTATTTATTTATTTATTTATTTATTTATTAGAGAGCAAGCGAGAGAGAAACAGCATGAGAGGGAAGAGGGTCAGAGGGAGAAGGAGGCTCCCCACCGAGCCGGGAGCCCGATGCGGAACTCGATCCCAGGACTCTGGGATCATGACCTGAGCCGAAGGCAGTCGCTTAACCAACTGAGCCACTCAGGCGCCCAGGAAAGGCCTTTCTGACGGACAGCTGCAACTGCTAAAAAGTCCTTTCCCTCATGGATTCAAAATCTACCTACATTTAATCTGACTTCTGTCCCTGTAAGAAACAAAGAAAAACACACACTATTTCTTTAGGTATTCAAGACCGCTCTCACACTGGCCCACAACCTCCTTTTCCCCCCAAGGCTGAACAATGCCTCCTTAAAATCTGCCCTGAAATGAACCCAGTGCCTTGTGGCCTTGTCGCCATGACCCGGCCTCTGGCTTTCCTCCACACTGTCGTGTCCTTCCAGACACGGGATTCCCAAGGCAATTTTTAAACTTATTTCACCTATTTCAATTTCTTTATAACATGGTTGTAAGACGCTTCCAATGACAAGACTATAAAGTAAAAAGAAATGGCCTAACAAAACCAGGCTCTACAGCGTGGTCAAAGTTTTGCTTCTTCAAGCTTTTCTGGGGAGACTTTTGGGTAAATTTAGGAATCTGCTACACTTCTCCCCCTAGTCCTATTTCAAGCTTAATTATGAATTGGCATATGTGTCTGGATTTCATGGACATGAAGAATATGGGAAATGATAGGATTCCAAGAACCTAGAAGCAAACTATGGTAGAGTCTGGTTCACCGCCCTGTTGTAAATAAGAGTTTTATTGGGATCTGATATATTGTCAACGGCCGCTCCTGGACTACAACAGCAAATTGGACAAGATGCAGCAGAGACTATCTGGCCATCGACAGAAAAAGTGTTCCAACCCCTGCTCTCCACTAGGGCTTTTGGAACTTTAATGAACAAACCAGGCACCCGGGATGTCCCTGAAAAGCGAATTCTGAACTAGTCTGTTTGGGGCAGGGCCTGAGCTTCTGCATTTCCAACAAGCTCCCAGGTGATGTCAGAACACGCTCTGACAAGGGCAGACTGGAGGACAATACTTACCAACCTGTGATTTGGACACTATCCTCCCATCCTTCCATTAGTGCTCCCCTGAATTCCATTCAAAAAACAACAGACTCGCAGTGTTCAGTCTGGGTCCTGGACTGTTCTGTTGTTGGAAGCATGCGGATGTTAAGTCTGGCCTCCCCGTCTGACCACAGTGCCTTGCTGACTCCGTGGGCTCATAAAACATTCAAAGCCCCATCTGGAACCACTGTAGCAAAATGGACAAGTCCCGCACACTGTGGGGACATGGAGCTGGGGGGTGGGGATGGCAGAAAGAAGCCCTTTGGCTGCCTGCCTGTTCCCTGCTCAACTCCCCCAGCTCAGGAAACAGGTCCTACTCAGTCCCCTGTGAAGCCACACTACATAAAACTGCCCTCGAGGGCGCCTGGGTGGCTCAGTTGGTTAAGCGACTGCCTTCGGCTCAGGTCATGATCCCAGGATCCTGGGATCGAGTCCCGCATCGAGCTCCCGGCTCAACGGGGAGCCTCCTTCTCCCTTTGACCCTCTCCTCTCTCATGCTGTTTCTCTCTCGCTCGCTCTCCAATAAATAAATAAATAAAATCTTTAAAAAAAAAAAAAACTGCCCTCGCTCCCTCCCTCTTCTTCAGGAAGCCAACCTACCTCTAGTCCATGTGCATTTACACAGAATCAGCCGCACATTGATGTCTCATCACTGGCCTCACCAAAGCAAACTGCATGAAAGCTATACATGCCAGAAAACCACTTCCTTCTCCTCCAGGCTGCCGGCCGGCCCGCAGCTCTGTTACCCAGCTGTGTTTCCTGAGTCCCCTTCTCTATATGACAGCTCATTTTGGGGTGTGGAGTGGTTATGGTAGAGGAAAGACAAAGCACATCCATTTACCTACTTGCATAATCCCTTCCCGAAAATATTCTTCTAATGAATCTGTCCCCAGTTTTGAGGAAATGCGCGTGTGGACACACACACACCTGGCCATGTGGGTTACTGTTAGACTCTGAGAACCATCAGGTTTCTGAAGGCTCTGTGAAAGTTTTAAACTCATCCCAGAGGGTCACATTTGCTGGAGCAGAAAGGCTCCAGAGATGGCAGGGCAGAGGGGGTGTGTGGTTTGCGAGGCAAGTGGGCCGTGTGTTTTGAGGGTGGAGTGTGTGTGAAGGTGCAGGATGCAGAGCGATGCCTGGGAGCCTGGAGCCGATCCAGCCACACATGATGGAGAACCGTGCCAACGGCCCTCAGCAGGCAGAGTGAAGACCCTTCACAGGGGCCCTGAGGCTCCGGCGTGGCAGATGGCCACTCTCAACCGAACGCACTGTTCAATCCCCTTCTACCTGAATGAATGATCCAGAGTCTAAACAGAGGCTTTTCACAGAGAAGAAAAGGTGGAAAACCAGGAAACCTTTAGAATTTCCAGCTTCTCCCATCAAGGATCAGAACAGGAACCTTTTCTACGAGGCAGAAGCATCTTTGAGAAGAAAGTAAGTGTAGGAACCAAGCACAATGTGCCTGTTGCTGGGGGCCGAAAGAAAGCGCCCCCACTCCCGGGCAAGCTCACAGGAGGCTACGGTCCTGTTCCACACAGAAAGGCTGGTGCTTTGCGGTGCACACGGGGGTCAAGCTGCTTATCTGCAAAGGAAGGGGTACAAGGACTTATAGGAACCCCCGGCTAACAGGAAGGCCTAATCATGTTCAAAACCAATCATATACCGCAGTTCATGAGTGCATCTCCTTTGGGTGACCCTGCTCCTGCCTGCTGATCCAGGGCTGGCTCAGCAGGGCCCACAGTCAGGAGGGAAATGGAAGAAGAGGAGAATTCTGTGTGATTATCAGCCAACTGGAAAACTGGTCCAAGGGATCTTTTACTTTCCTGCTGCCTCATGTCCCTGTCTGTGGGGTGGTGTCCCGGGTATTCTGTTTGCCCCCAAGATGCACTTACCACCCTTCCCACCCCACTGTGGCCTGGACGTCAACCTCTTATAAACCACACCACCCAGGCCCCTGGCCCAGTGTTGGACTTGTTTGGCCAACTTGGAGGCAGGAGCAAGACATGGAAGAGGCCCCTGCCTGCCTGCACCGTCACCTCCGTGTTCCTACACACACCCCCTCTCTCCCCGGCCCACGGCTGACCTGGGTTTCCCACTGTCGCTACCAGCCCGGTCATGTCCCCCCAACCTGACCCCACGGCTGTCCATGGTCCCCGCATCCAATCCTCTTCAACTGCCCGTCTAGAACACAGGATTTGCTTCCTGCTGGGGTCCTGACCAACAGAGGGCACCAGATACAAAATGGTAGCAAAAAGAAAACATAACTTCACAAATACAAAGGTAAAAATAAAAATCAAATACAAAGTCTATAAAAAAAAAAAAGAAAAAAGTAAAGAGGAAAAAAAAACCCAACATGATGAGGGAGCCCTTCCCCAATCTGAGACTTATCTTAGGACCTTCCCTCAGCCTTGTCAACTGGATGCAAAAAGACGTGGGGGTAAGAATAAAGCGAGTGTGTCTCTAGGCTCTTGGTGGTCCTCACTGCGCATCTGAGCCATAAAAGGGAGGAGGGCAGAACTGCCCATGGGCACTGCAGTCCAGCCACTGCTGGCTTGGGAATGTGCTGGGCCCCTGTGGGGCACCCATGCCCAAGCTGGGAAGGGACGGGCTCACAAGCTCAGATTTTGCTAGCAGGCACTGCCTTGTGCCCACAGGCTACCCCAGGCTCCAGACACACACATGCATGGTGATCGCCCTAGGCATGGGTCTCAGGTATCTGACACCGCAGTTTCTGAAGGCAGGCAGCACGAGGCCAGCTCACCACACCACAGATAGGAGTATAGCCCTGGATAAGCCTGGCCTAGTCAAGGAGCTAGAAGATCCTCAGCAACCTCATCTTTACACTGTTAAGTATCAATCATCCAAGCAGCTGGTTGTTTGATTCTTAAGAGATACTCAGCCGGAGCGAGCCCACAGCCTCTTCCAGGAGCTGTTCAAAGGTTTGGCCCCGAGGATGGTCAGAATACTGTTCTTTTCCCCTTGCATCCAGCCAGCAGGCCTCTGATTTGGTTCATTTTCAACCAAGCAAATATTCAGTGAAACAAAAAAATAATGTGCCCGGCCCTGTATTTGGTCCTGCGGGGCCTGTGTAAGGCAGGGCTTGTGTCCCAAAAAGAGCCCACCTCCTGTTTGGAAGGTTAAGAGACACAACTGGGGACAAGGAAGAATGGGACTCAGCTGTCCTATAAATAGTGGGGGAATTCAGGAAAGCGGGACCAGCATGAGAATGCGGGCCTCGCACCGGGCCCTGGAGACTGGGTACACATCTGCTAAGGCAGAGAGAAGAGGGAAAAGCTTCCGCTAGTCAGAAAGAGCATCCACCTGCAAATCATAATGAGCCCAGCATATTCACAGAACAGCATGGGGGGGATGCTTCCAGAGATTGTTTAAAGGCTCCCACAGACCTGAAATAGGGCGGTATCTTCCCCCACAGAAACCCTGTGATTTTCAGCTGCACAGGGAAAAAGGCAAGACACAGAATCAGGGAAAGGGAGACCATCAAAAAGAATTTGAGGTTTATGAAGAAGGCCCTTAAAGGAAAAGCACAAGGAGAGTGGGTGGACCGATGGCTCTTTAAATGTACAAATAAAAATGATGTCGATTTTTGTTTCCACATTGAACGGGTCAAATGGAATTGGGCTCCAGTGGGCCAAAAACTTCGTAAAGTTTTGGTTAGAGGCATCCCAGGAATAAGCCACCTCCTCAGCTTGCTAGACCAGTAGAGAGCAGTTTTGAGGATGGTTCTGAACCTCGTATCTCCCTGCAGCCAAGGGTACTGGCCACCTGTCAACACCAGAAGGCAGGGGCTCAGGAGCTGAGAGCAAACAGAGCCTTCTAGAACCAGGGAGGGAAGCTGGGAAGGGGGCCATAACAGCTAGCTGTGGGGCTCTATCAAACCGTGGTCCAAAAGCCCCGCCTGTGCCACGTGGACCCCAGGACCTGAGTGACTGCCGGATACCTGAAGAGTGGTTGAGAGTCTGGCCTCCTTCCCTTGGCCACCTACAAGGCTTCAGCCCCTGTCACCACCAACAGGGGACTACATACTCAGAGAACACAGGAAAGTTACTATTAGAGGTTCTTCTTCATAGAAGAAAATTCACCTTAGCCTGAAAACCACATCATCTGGAAAGCCAGCGCCACTAAGGGGAGGGAGGATGCAGGCAAGGAGGAAGGAAACCGGGTCAGAGCAGAACCCCGCTTCCTGACTTCTCTGTGGCGGGGAGCTGTGAGTCTAGGGGGGCAGGAGAAGAGCAGAAGCACCCTCCAGGTGAGGGCTGCCATGGGGGTGGGGGGCCCAGGGGCAGGGGGCCCGGGGCACCCACACACGGGCCTCACCTGGGTTTGGGAAGGCCTGAAGGCAGAGTCAAAGCCGTTCTGCAGGGAGTCGAGGAAGGGCTGGACCTTGTAGAGGCCGTGCGTGGTCTGGCTGGAGCGGAAGGCCACCACGTGGAAGTACTTGAGGATCTTCTCGAAGCGGGCCTGGCTCATGACGAGGGCGAGGCTCCGGTTGCTGTAGAAGCCGCCGCTCCAGATGCTGAGGACCGACTCGCAGTGGGAGATGCTGGTGGAGATCATGTAGCCCAGGAACGCCTTCATCTCTGTCAGCGTCACCTCGGCCCAGGCGCCGTCGCTGCCGAAGCGCTCCTGGAACTTCTTGGCATACATGTTCGTCTGCACCACCATGTTCTTGAGCACGTTGTCCGGGACGAAGAGCTGGAAGAAGTCCATGGCGCTGGCGCCGGGGGGCATCTTTCGGGTTGGACCTGAAACAGATGGGGGGGGTTTGTGGCGGCAAGCAGCGCACACAGCCGGGGCAGTCACCGGGGGCTCCGCGGGGTGCACCTCCGCCTGCGAGCCGGGGTCCCGGGGTCCCCTCCCCCCGCACCGCACACCCTGCGCTCTCGCCCGGCCTGCACAGACACCGCTCCGCAGGGAAAGGGACACGAGAGGGGTGGAAAGGCACTGACGCAAAGACACACCGATCCAGCCCAGGAGCCTGGCCGTGGCTTTCAAGCTTAAACTTTCTTGTGAGGGAAGGTGACTTCTCTAAGGAGGCTTTCACGCCTCAGGGCCTGAAATGCCCACCCAGGTGAGGCTGCCATCTTTCTGTCCTGGAACTGGACACGTGGCAACTTGAAATTTATTGCTGAATCAATCTGAAGGGGCTCCTTTAGATAATTTCACCAATATAATAAAAACCTCACAATTCTTGACTAATGCAGGAACAGCCATTTGAAATACACACACACACACACACACACACATCCTTAAGAGATACGGCTTTCAATTCCATATAGTGACTTAAGCCAGGCTAACAGGATGGAGAGATTTGTAAGAGACAAGTTTTTGTTTTTTTTTTTAAATCTCTTTTACCTAATCTCTATGCCCAACCTGGGGCTCGAACTCATGACCCGAGACCCAGAGTCACATGCTCCACTGACTGAGCCAGCCAGATAACCCTCCAGGAGACAAACTGCAATTTCTAATAAAAGCTATGCGCGTTCTTCAGAACTTTAACCATCCCCCCGACCCAACCTTTCTCTACTACTGATTTAGACAGTCTCTGAAAAACATGTGTTTCACAGCAAAACAAGAGAATGACAAGGCAGTCCAGGTTTTAGATGGGACAGAGTCGGGAGCCGAAACCCTGAATTTACTCGTAGCTAACTGCACAGTCTTAGATAAATACTTCATCTGCCCCACATAGAAAATGGAACACCTGCTTTGCAAGGTTGTTGTGGCAACTTGGAAACCTTTACTGACACGTTAGCAACAGAAAACCTGTGACTTGGGCTGAGGGCTTTCGAATGCTCTAACTGCCCTCATTTTACAGAAGAAAAAACTGAGGTCCAGAGAGCCAAGTGGTCACCATATTCACGGTCACCAACCATTTTTTGGAAGGGCACTGCTCTTGGCCGAGAGCTGCCGTGACACTGAGGCCAGGATCTGGAGGGGCCCCGGGTAGCAAGAACAGCCTGCAGCCCCACACCCACTCTTAGTGGAAATCATTGTATTTCAGCGAAGACTTACTGCCTCCTATGGGTGAAGCCATAAATTATTCAAAGAGGAGGAAAACCAGCATTTTAATTGCTCCATCATGCTGAGTAAGCAGAATGAAATTTTCTTTTCCAAAAGTTATCTTTAGTAATTCTGCCCCCCAGGCTATTTCAAAATCAATTCTCACAGCAAACTCTGCCCTGGCCAACTGGTTCAGGAAGCAATTGGGAAGTAGCCGGCTCCCTCTTATCTGTTTAGTTTGGATTTACAAGCATCCTCCACAGCCCCCTTCAGCAGTTGTGATGCTTCATATTTGAGAAGTGTTGGCACAGGCCAGGCACTGGGAAGGAAGGAGGGAGAAGGAGGGGGGATGGAGAAAATGCCATTCAGGAGATTTAATCTGTATCACCAATTTTGTAATATGACCATTTAATAATACGGCCCTGGGGGTGCTGTGCACCCCCAGCCAAGATAAGCCTCTTTTACATTTGATTCATTTATAGGAGCTTTTCCAGATATTACCCCATGTGATCCTCACAACATCCACGTGAAGCATCATCCCCTTCTGCAGGTGAGGAACTAGAAGCTCAGAAGTATAGGGACACAGCCCCAGGTCACTCACATCTAAGCACCTTACAGTTAGGGTGACCTTTGTCCCACCTGGCCCAGAGCCAGTCCAAGAGCACCTGCTGCCTGTTGTAATTATTTAATAGTGTCCCTTCTGCTCTCACGAGTGGACAAGGAGGCATGTGGCTGTTCTCTGCACAGTGTATATGCACAACTTAAGCCAGGTGTGTGGTCTTCAAACCCCACCAGCTCCCTCCACCTCTGCCGTGCACACATTTCACAGTGGGTGATATAGGGTTACAATGCACAGCCAGCAGAAACTCTGAAGGGATAGGGAGGACCTACATTGTAAAAAATGCAAAGGCAGCATGGGACCAGGGGTGGGGATGGGGGGCAGGCTGGTAGGGAGGACCCGGAAGAGGAAGAGCAGGTGTATGTGCACTTGGTGTCTGGGCTGGGGGTACAGGGCTCTGCATGTTGATGGTGTCAATGATGCATTGCCAGGTCATAAACTCATATAATCGTCTCCCTCCTCTCCCCCTCTTCGCCTCCCCCACCCCACCATGTCACCCCTCAAGGCCCCATCACCATCTGGTTCCCTCAGCCTACAGGGGATCACCTGCCCCCTCAATCCCAGGATGTCACAGCAGGCCCACAGACCCGGGGTAGCGTTAAGAATGGTTCAGTAAGGGGCACCTGGGTGGCTCAGTCGGTTGAGCATCCGGCTCTTGGTTTCGGCTCGGGCCATGATCTCAGAGTGGTGGGATGGAGCCCTAAGTCGGGCTCTGTGCTCAGTGGAGAGTCTGCTTGCGATTCTCTCTCTCCCTCTGCCCTTCCTCCCCACCCCCCACTCTCGCTAAAATAAATAAATAAATCTTAAAAAAAAAAAAAGGAAGAATGGTTCACTAACGCTCAGATCCCCCAGAGATTCCTCCCACCACCCCAAGCTAGGAACCAACCCCTCTTTTCAGGAGCGACTACAAAAGCAGGTGTCCTGTGTAGAAAGGGGACTGTAACACAAGGGCAGTTGTCAGTGAACACCTGAGTGTCATACTGATCCTAGGGACAGAAAGGAGTAAGACCCGATATTTTCTCCCCGGGAGTCCTCGGTGTAGACAGGAGCAGGCAGCAGGCAGTGACCCAGGGATGCCAGGCGGGGGGGTGGGGGTTGGGGAGGGTGCCCACAAGAGGGACCTGAGTTCAGATTCTGGGGAGGTGGGGTCTGAGAGGCTCCCTGGAAGAGCCACACAGATGGCTGCGAAGCTGTCAGCCCCCCATGCAGTGGGGGCAGGGAGGCTACAGACTATCTCAGGCAGTGAGAACCTCTCCCGCAAAGGCCCCGTGACCAGAGCAAATGCCCCGCATTTAGTGGACTGTGCAAGGGAGCAGCCTGGCTGCAGACACGGAGGGGCTCAGGGCCAGGACCTCCCCCCAACCCCGCCATGGAGTGTGCAGGGCTGTGAGAGCCGCCGGTCATGCTCATGCTGTAGGAGGAACCGCTCACTGCTGCAAGCGCCATGTGGGGAGGGCCTGGACTGTTCCTGAAGCCAGTGAGCTCAGGCAGGGACCTAACTGAGGGGCGACCACAGCGCTCCCTCACCTCTGTAAGTGTGCTGGGCAGGGGAACAGACTACAGGTGAGCCGCGGTCCTACAGGTGACCCGAACCCTGGGGCCAGGGCCTCCACCAGCCAGCGACCCTCATCGATGTATCCTTTCCATTTGTACCAGGACAAGAACTAGGCTGGTATCTTAAACCACACGTGTCCACACTGCAACTCCAGATGCCTCATTGTCCTCTCCCTTTTTGCTCTTATGTACCAGCCTCCGCCAGGGACTTCAGCCAGAAACCTGAACCACTGTGGATCCCTCTCCTCGCCGCACCCCCACATCCGGCCCCTCAGCACGTCCTCCCACCTCCACCTCTACAGTGTGTCACCAACCACCCACTGTAGCGCTCTGGCCCAGGCAGCCGCCACCTCTGTCCTAGAAGACAAACACGGCCTCCCCCAAATGAGTCACAGCAACAAGAAAAATTTTTTTAAAGAATATAAACTAGATCACAACACTCCCCTGCTTAATTAAAACACTCCTGTGACTTCCCACTGCACTTAAAAAAGCAAACACACATTCCTTATCAAGGGCTCAGGGCCCTACATCCCAGGCCACTCTCCAAGGCCAGGCAAGCAGAAGGTGTGCAGCCAGAGCTGGGGGCAGGCCCGGGCCCTGGCAAGCCCCCTCCACCCCAGGGCCTGCATCCACGAAGACCCATCTGCGGGACGCAAGCCCTCCCGGGGCTCCGGCTTCCTCAAGTGATGAAGCCCACCCAACCACAGGCAGACACCCCTGCCGGTCCTGTCAATCTCCATCCCAAGTAGGCTTCCTTCCTCGCATTTATCATAGTCTAGGATTGTTTCACCAGGGACTTACATACTTGTTTGGGTCTGCCTCTGCTGTCCCACCCTCTGGCCCAGCTGAAGTGGGATGGCCAAGGTAGAGGCTGTCGTGCTGTCCCCAGCCCAGCTCACGGTATGTTGGACACACCCACTGACAAGGTGGATAGAGAGTGGGGGAGTGGGGAGGGCAGACGCCCCGGCCCATTCAGGAGGAAGGGCATCTTTGCTAAGCCCCATGGGAAGGATCTGGTTCCTGGTACAGCAGCCCATGTTAATGCCTGGTAAAAAGAACAGCTAGAAACATCTGTGTGGAAGAGGAAGCCGACAGCACCGGGGTGGGTGAGGCTGGAAGGAGTACAATACAGTGACGCAGGGCTCACCTCCGCCAGCTGGGCAGGAAGTCGGCACACCTGCCCACACCTCCCTGGGGACACACGTGAGGTCTAGGGAGCCAGGAAGGGGCAGCGTGCAAAGTCCTGGGAAGGGAGACCACCTGGGAATTGGGAACAGATGATCGGTGGGCAGGACGTGGGAGGGGGAGCATCACAGATGACTTCCGGTCCCCAGCTCAGGTGGGCTGGCTCTGGGTCTTGTTTTGTTCAATTTCCTGAACTAGGGGAAACCGCTTCAGAACTCCTTCTGGCCCTCCCTCTCTGTCTACAGCTGCTGGTTGTGTGACCTTGGGCAGGCCACACAACCTCTCTGCACCTTGGTTTGTTCACCCATCAAATGGGAGTATAAGAAGCACCTTGGAGTGAGTGAAAGCTGCAGGACCTCGAACACAGGCCACGGCCCATCCTGGCTG